TTTCTGGGCACATCCATTTCGGAGGAGACCCAGGACACGCAGGAGGGACTATGTCCCTCAGCTGGCCAGGGAACGCCTTGGGGTTCCCCTGGAAGAGCTGGCCCAAGCTGGGGAGAGAGAAGTCTGGGCGTCTCGGCTTAGGCTGCTGCCCCCGCGACCCAACTCTGGATAAGTGATTGAGAATGGATGGATGGATGGAATGTGTTTGAATTCTCTACAGGTTGGTTTTAATAGTGTAGTCATGTATTTCCTGAGATCGATAGGTGGGTTGGTGCTGTGTCTGCAGTGATGCGGGTGTTTTACCAGTCTGTTGTGATCATGAGAGTTGAGCTGGAAGGTGAAGCTCTCGATTTACTGGCCGATGCATGTTCCTACCATCACCAATGGTCAGGAGCTTTGGATAGTGACCACAAGAACAAGAATGTGGATATAAGCGGCCAAAACGAGTTTTCTCTGCAGGGTGGCTGCCCTTGGAGATAGGGTGACAAGCTTGGCCATCTGGGAGGGTCTTGGAATTGACTTGCTGCTCCTCCACACAGAGAGGAGCCAGTTGAGGTGGCTCAGGCATCTAGTCAGGATTCCTCCTGGATGCCTCCGTGGTGAGGTTTTCTGGGCGTGTCCAGCAGGGAGGAGCCCAAAAGGAAGACCCAGGACATGCTGGAGGGACTATATTTCTTGGCGTGCCAAGGAACGCCTTGGGATTTCCCCAGAGGAACTGGCCCAAATGGCTGGGGAGAGGGAAGTCTGTGCCCCTCTGCTTAGGCTGCTGCCTCTGCGACCCAAGTTCAGATAAATGGAAGAAAATGGATGGATGTTCTCCCTGATTTCTCTGTAGACTTATAGCCGTGTATTCTTTTTATTTTTTTCATTGCCATATCTGTTTGCTCTAGCCACTGACTGTTTTCAGAGATGCCAACTTTCTCATAAGTCATTTTTGCTCTTTTAAAATAAGGGTGTGTGTGGATATCTGCAATGAAACGTGTGGAGAAGCATGCACAAAGCAATATGCATCAATTGTTCCATAATTAATTACATTCAAAAGTTACATTCCTCCCCCTGATCATGGACACAATTTAAATTTATTTCTAGGGATGTTCGATATTGTCAACTCTTAATTTACGATACCGCTTTAAACCAATGCTGATAAATACTGTGTCTCCCTCTCGTAAAAAAGGACAAGCTAAAACATTTTAGGTCACTAACATTACATTTCTCCTGTCACACATACTTGAATTTACGTTAGTCAAAGGAAAAAGTGCCATGTTTATTTGGTCTCCCTAGGCTCTCTGTGATGTGTGTATTAATTAGTGATGTATTTTATCTTATTTTTTCAGATACAGTAATCAATCATTTATGAAGATCTTTAGATAAGAAGCCTTGGGTGAAGATTTTTATTTTTGTTTTAGTCATAAAGAGGACAAATTCCTCCTTCACAAGTTGTGCCAAATAAACAAAAATGTCTCAAACTACTTTACCTCAGATCTGTCATATTTCGACCTTTAAAGTGAGAGGAGACGGAGCTGAAGAGCTTGATGTGTATCATTTGTAAACGTTGTGTCATTTAAAGAATGAAAACCAAACCTCAGATTTTCTGATATTAAATTTTAATGCAGTTATCGACCGATAATAAGGGTGAACCGATAATATAGGACATCCTTTATTTAACATATGAAACACCTTGATGTCAAAATGAATATGTTCTTGTTTATCTTGCTCCTGGAAAGCACATGGAATTGCTTCTTTGTATGAAATGTGCTGAATAAATAAAACGGCCTTGCTTGTACTGGCTTTGGACTCCCATCTAACCTCTGAACTTTTTTTCTACTTTTCATTCAGAAAACCACATACCATTCTTAAACAGGCCTATGTACATTCAGATTTAGTGAGTCAGGGGTCACATGTTTTGATGTTTAATGTTGTTCCACAAGAACCTGTCTTTGGCCCACTGACATTTTCTTATCTTAAAGTAAGTACCACCTCTATGCTGATGACACACACTTATCCACAGCATAGACTTTGATCAAGGCACACTTTACTATAGTAAAAAGGGTTGAGATTTGATTTGTTTGGTTTGTAATTTAACCTGGAGTCGTGGACCCAGGACCATGAACAGAGATGATGGAGTTTACACATTGGAGGAGGGCGTGGGCAGTAGAGAGTGACTTCATCCTCTGCTGCCTGCAGATAAACGGATATGGAAGTAACACCACCAACATCGGCGATGCTCTGAGGAAGGCTACAGCGTTAGCCAAAACTTGCCAGCTTAAAAAGGTATAAAACATCTCTTTACTACTTCTTTAGAAAAGAACCAAGCAATGGAATTTGATGGATTACACAGAACAAACCTACAAAAGACATTCATTAATATGAGTAGTTTGCTCTAATCACTGCATCAGTGCTAGACTTCCAGATCAAGCTGAGTATACGTGGATCACCAACAACCTCATTGTGCTGATGTTTCAAACCCCTGCAGGACTTCTAAAAACGAATCTTATATGTGTGATTGCTCTTTTATTCCTTTGTCTGTGAAGTCCAGTTCACCTACATATATTATGTTGAGCCTGTGTGCAGAGGAGTGATAACTCCAAGGCCTTGGAAGAAGGGGTGCTGAGGGTGCTGCAGCACCCCCTTGTGGATGACAAATTATGTGCATGTTGGTATTCTAGTAAGTAAAAGCATTTTATTGGATTTAGTTTAGAGTTTAATTGAAGACAACTACAAATACATAATATTATTTTCAAAAACATTTTTGTATGTCAAACATACACGGAGCTATAAGACGTAAGATATGTGTGTACACAGGGACACTTTATTATTTGCCTGTTCATTCGTTATTGGGATGAGAAACCCACTAGATCATCTACATTCCTTTTTGTTCATGTACTTAGACGTTTTTCTGGTATTTTACACATAATCATTGCTTTTCAAAGAAGACTTCCAAGTTGGTTTTCCGTTAATTAATGTGGCCGCCGCTTACGTGTAAACCGCCGTAACATTTATTTCCGTAGGGTGGTAACTTTACACACCTCAGACATGTGCACCTGCATGGAAATGCTGTGGAACAGTTGAAAATATGAGACATGATGATGCAGTGTTTCATCAGCGCAATTCCTGAGTGCAGGAACACTTTTGGAGGGTCATCATAAAGTGAGTAAGACTGATTTGATTATTGCTCTTTGTTCACTCTGTGTGGAAAGGTTGATTGCTTGTTGATCAGTTCTGTGCTCGTTACAGTGGTTCTTAATCGCCAGAGTTAAGTTCTAAAAATAACCCGCAAAATCCACAAAGTAGTCAACTTTATTTTTTTACATGTTTAGCGTACGTAGCTACTTTTTGTGTCACACACAAAAACACACCAGACTCCATTTCTCAACAGTTTTGTTTCCAGCATTTGAGCAGATTTGCGTCTCCTCCCCCATGCGGGAGCGCAGATTACTGATGCGCTCCAGCTTCGGCACAGCGCGTGCTCCTGTCCCCGCAGATGAGCTCATCCCAGCGCACCGCCGAAAAAAACCCTCACTTCTGCACTTTTTTCAGATATGCATTACCTCTTCACTTTTCTCTTGTGTTTAAACATCGTCAAATTTCAAACCTTCAGAAGCAGAACCCAATACGCTGCTAAAAAAAAGCGTGCAAAATGGAACTAGAAACTAGAGTGAACAACACGTTCTCACTCCCAGCGCGTCAAAAACAAACGCTTGGTCAGCCACCCTCCACGTCAGACCCCTGTCGCCAAAAGTGCCCTTTTTCGTTACTTATGTGCGAAAAGGGGTTTTTCCCTTATTTGACTGCAGATCCCAATGCAGCGTTACACTGACGCGATGGGATGTCCGCAGCCAGGGCACCAAACAAGCTCATTGTACCTCACCTTAACCTTATCCTCTTATTTTAACCTTCCCCTCACCCCTGTCCTTACCTTAATCATCTTGCTAGTGAACACGTTAGTGATGTGTCGATCGCTCTAAAAGCCGGCTCTATGAAGTGAACGGCGGGAGCCGCCTCGTCATTGGTCGAGTTTGGACCGAGCCAACGCGAGGGGGAGGTTTCAACTACCACGGTGGAGATTAAAAGTAGAGGGTATGTGTAACCTCCCCCTCGCCAGCTGGTATGTTCTAACGTTCCCCTTGGGCGGCAAATACGAAAATTGACAGTCAGACTCTGACTGTCAGAGTCAGAATGCATGGGAAACAAACGCTTGATCACAGTGAGAGTAACGTTTTGGGTAGCAAGAGGGTTAAGGTTAGGATGAGGGAGAGGGGAAGGTTATAGTGAAACGTTAAGGTTTAGGTGCGGTTAAATGAGCTGATTCGGTGCCGCATCAGTGGATATCTAATCACGTCAGTTTTACGCTGCATTGGGATCTGCAGTTACAAAAGGGAAAAAACCCTTTTCGCACATAAATAACGAAAAAGGGCACTTTTGGCGTCTGGGGTCTGACGTGGAGGGTGGCTGACCAAGCGTTTGTTTCCGACGCTTAGGGTGTGAGAATGTGTTGGAGTGAAAAATGAACCGCTACTGCACTGATGTTAGGTGATATTTGTTTGAAACAGTTTTTCTGTGGTGTCGCGCATACATAAACAACGGGTGGAATTGTTCCATGTTGTTTTTAGTTTCTGTTACATTTAGGGAGATGTTCTTGGAGGGTGGTTCTTTTTCCGTTGATAAACATTTCGGTATCAGATCTGTTGTCTGAAGAGCCTGCAGACCATCAGTCAGTTACCTTGCCAAAAGCGCGGTTCGGTGTGGATTCTGGAAGTTTTGACCTGCCATTTGTGGGGTTTTCCCAGTGTTGATGTAATAAGCTGCTGCTATGTTGAAGAATGAACCAAGAATAATTAAGGCTTACTACTATTACACATAAATATATATAAACATGTTAAACACGTGTGCGTTTTTTTTTTTTTGTATGTGGCTGATCACAGCACCCCCTTAGGAAAATATGCTCCCACGGCACTGGATAAGTCTAAATATATCACGGTGTTTTTTCAATATCGACTGACCTGAATCCTGCCTGGGCTCTTATACTTTTGGCGCTTTGCTCTTTGCTTCCTTCTGTAATACACATCCTAGTCTTGAACCTGTAGAAGACATGAAAGATATCAAACTGCAGAACAATACAACAATGTAGGGACAAATCTTGATTTAAACTCGTTTTATACCAGTAGCAGACCAGTGTACTATTGTGCTATTGTTCCTCAACTCCAGCATGAGAATGGATTAAATTCATAAGGCATACATGGCCAATTTGAAATAAATTCCCATAATATACATTTAATATACCAAGTTCAGCCTTATTTGTACATTTGCTTTATGTGGGGACAATGGCAAAGCCAAGAGGCGACCCGTGTTGCATTGAGTATTGTAGATATTAGATATTGTAGATACAATGTTTGTTTGCATCAGTCTGCAGTCCAGACTCCTTAAGCACCAGTCAGTTGGGGTTGCTTCTACTATTTCAAACAGCATTAAGTCATTCAGCAGCTGGACTCTTGTAGTATTTGTAGCATCTCATTCACGAGGGCATCCATCTTGCTTAGCTCCGGTCTATCTTTCAGTTCAGTACAGTCTGCTGTAGTTGGTCGGACAACAATCAATAATAGCAGCTTTGGATTCCTTCTAGGTTCTTTATTCGATTTGTTAATCTGTCTGGTTGGAGCTGGTTTCTGCCTTTGAACGAGTGGGAAAGACTCACGTAGAAAGAGCCTGCCTTTCCCCCTAAATACTCCTACAAACAGGTTCTGTCAACAAACTTTTGGGAAAGAATTGGTGGCAAATGCAAGCAAAACTATTCACTAAAGTTTTTTTCCACAAATGCTCAGCTCTGAGTTTTGGGGAATCTCCACATTGGTGCAAATGTACCACAGCATGTGTGAAACAGGGTTGTCCTTGCTATTTGTCACAGATTCAACTAAATCAAGAGAACGACACTGACAGATTATCTAAAGATCCCCGTTAAAGCTGGTTCCTCGTTAAGCTGTCTGTTATGTGTCAATGCAACATTGGGTTTAGGAGCAGACGAGTCTGCAAAGATAAACACTCATCTGAAAAGTTCTGTTAGTTGACTAAAATAAAAATACTAAAGCTACTTAAAAATCTTTGAAGGACATTGAGAAGCCTCTAGAAGAAAGGCCGCTTTAAAAGAAAACAGACATCAGAATCTTTGGAGGATTCAAGATGTCTTACAGCACAGTACTCAAAATAAAATATGCTCCCTGAGTTTTATTTACATTTTTCTGCATTTTCTAAGTATCAGCATCGGATTTGAAACTACAATAACTACAATACATTTTGATGGGGAACACTCATTTGTTTAAAGGAGGGGAATACCCGTTTAATCAATACATTTGCATTTATATTTGCAGGCAGTACTCAGGGTACAAAAAAATCCCACAAAGCCCTGACTCAGCAAAGCCAGGTCTGCGACATCAGCTGAGCTTCAGATGGCAGGATTTGAAAACCCATTTCCTGATATTTGGATATCTCGCCCCGGACTGAAAAACAGCAATGCGGCTCTACCATTGACTTGAAACGTGGTTGTTTTATCTCCACAAATAGCACAAGCCTGGAGGACTTCTGCTGTGAGGTTAGCTAATGCTAACAATTAGCTTAAACTAGCTGAGACAGCCTCTGCTGATTATTGGACATTAAAACAACCAACAACAGCCTCCCCCATCGTGAGTCAAGATGGGTGAGTCCATGAATGTTAAGTGACATTGTGACGTAGATCTGTCAGGATTTTCTAATCCTAGAGTTTCACCGTCTATTTTCTACCAGAAGCTAATGCAGCAGATAGGTGTAGGAGACTATTTTCATGTTCAGCCTGCATGAAAAACCCAGAGTGAGTGATTATAAAAAAAAAATAAATGTTTTTCAGTCAACCACACCTTTAAAGCTGAAATCTATAAAACACACACGCACTCACTAGTAACACACTTCAGGATGCTATTTTGAGTCTTTATCTGGGAAGATGTAATATTAAAAAGTGTAAAAATAAAGCAAATGCTTAAAAAGTGGCTGAAAAAAAAACCCCAAACAAAACCAAAACCCAAATGCATTAACAACTGTCATTTTCTGTGCAACACTGAATATGAAGCCTCAGAAAACTGGAATCCGTCTGCCCAGAAGCTTAGCAACAAGTGACACGATAACCGCCAGTCAGTAAAGCCAGTAGCTCTGATTTGTTTGTGAGCAAAACAGGCAGGTGCCTTTTCTCATAATACATTAAAGGCAAGTTTATGAGATTTCTGGGTGCATTTTTATTTCATGTTGATATTTGTATGTTCTGATTTTGCTACTTATGTCACAGATTAGCTGGACATTGCATATTGTTTGTACATTAATAATTTTTTTAGTCCTTGCTGTCTGCATTTTATGCTTATTTTAGTCCCTAACTCGGGCTTTTAGACAAACAGATGTGTACAACTTTACTGAGACAAAGACCATACTGTAGATGAGGAAAAACAATCTGCAAAATATCAACATTAACTACAAATTGTTGAACTGTACGCATCAAATGAACGTTTAGTTTAAAACTAACTGATGAAAAAAGATAAACGAATCAAGTTAGGACTGAATTTGAGGCCTATTAGAAAAACACAGCAAACATTATTCCACCATACCTGAACCTGGAGCTCCTGGGCCTGCTGAGCCGGGCTCTGAAGCAATGTGTTCCTGGTCCTCTCGAGATCCAATCAGCTCTCCAGCAGGTCAGGCGGCGACTGAGAGATTTTTGCTTCAGGATGCCCAACCACTGAACCACAAAGGAGGCAGAGTGCCGAGAAGAGAAGAAAATCAATCCGGTACACAGCGACTAGCAAACCTGCTCGCTCTGTCGTTAAGGGTTAGCTGCACCATGGACCCCCATCCTCCTGAGCAGATTCAGCCAAGCAGAGTCCTGTTCTTTACAGGCAGGCCTTAGAGCCTTTATCTGCTAATTTTGTGTCAAGAGGATTGAAGGAGATGCAGATGAAGTCCATAAACAAGAGACTTCCCAAGTGCAGAAAGTAAAATGTGAATAAATTACATTTATTGGGGTGTACATGTATCAGCTAAAGCATTTGTAAAGCAACTTTGTGTCATGTGTAATCAGGTGGCTTAAAAATAAAAAAGATTTTTAAATTTAGCACAATTTGCTGCAGTAAAAATGCAAAACAAAAACTGTTGGTTTATGGGTCATTACTACTTTATGTGATTATCAAAGCTCTGAAAGAAAGGTCCTTTAGAAAAACACTTTTTGGCTTTATATAAGTGACGCTACGCTAGAATTCACGACTAAACATCCACGATGTCTAAAACCGATGAGCTGTTCCTGTACAGCTGGACAATATTAAACAGGCAGCTAATTACCCCCCCCCCCCCACCCCCCCCCCCACCCCCCCCCCCCCCCCCAGATAAATCAGGAGAGGAAGGGATGGAGGGAAGAGAGCAAGCAAAAACAGAGGGAGAGAGAGAGGAAGAGGAGGGAGGATAGCAAGCAGAAGATAAACAGACCTAGCTCCTGGTTCAGTTGGACACCGGCTTTAGTCCAGAGTGCCTGATGCTGCTGCAGTGTCACTGGTGTCGAAGGAATCACGACGAGACAAGACGGACCCAAAGACAGGATCAAGGAAAATCTCTTTTTAACCATCAGGATGTAGGCTGGGCTAAGTACTCCGCAAAACCAACAAGAAACGTGAAGAAAAAATTCTGATGTGCTCAAAGCACTATTGTAGCCTCGGTGTCCATCTTTGCCTCATGGAACATGTCGAACAAAGAAGCCAAGCTGTTTCTCCCTAAATGAAAAATACATTTTATGCAGAAATCCATTTCGCCCAATCGCCTAAAACGCGTCTCATCCGTTAGCACCCTCTTTCTTGTGTGCGATCCACGCCGATAACCCTGGTCTAGCTTTCTTTCTCTCACAATCACTCCCTCTCTCTCTGTTCTCCCCTCCTAAACTGATCAATACTTCATTTAAATCATGACATTAGCCCACTACTAGGGGGGAAATAGTGTGTGAATAAAAGCAAATGAACAAAGTTACAAACTATTTGATGATTTGTGTCAAAGGAGGCGAAGATTCCTCTAAAAATATGATGTGCAAAACAATGAGTTTATACAAGTGTGCAGGGCTGCAGTGGTGTTTTGATTTGAGCTCCTGAGCCCAACTCTGATCAATACACATTTAAATTGAGGCTGTAGAGTGCAATCACAATGGTCCATGTCATCAGATAAAGGCAAACATTGTACCCCAATTATCATCTCAAATGACTGGTTTTAGGGACACACGCTGGATGCTGATAGCAGCATTATTTCATATTTATTCAGCAGAATTTTTACATTAGCACTTCAGCATATAATTACCTAATATATATGCACCCTCACACTTTTATATATTCACATAATTCACAATGAGCAAAATCAATACTTTGCTATGCCCGTAAAATGTGTCTGCATTAGATCATACAATAAGCTGTTCAGAAAACTCAAAGCGAGACTCGGTAATTTCCTGGCACTCGTTGGAGAACAGCAGGCTAATCTTCCCGTTTATTATTAAACCTGGATATTTACCTGAGCAGCCTTGGTGTCACGGGCCCTGCTGGAGGGCAGTACTCTTGATCTCTGGAAGGGCTCTCTCCTCCTAGTTGGTCTGGATTTTTCGCTCCGCTACGAACGAGGGTGAATGCAGGTGAGAACACAAGATGGGAACATGCAGGGACTGACTGTGACTACTAGATGGGCAGTGGTGGAAATAGAGCCGAAGTCGGTCCCTCGGGGGAACATCGCTTACATTCAGCCTGGCGCCAATGTTGACCAATGAGCAATTAGGAAGACTGACCAAAATTATTGATCATGGATTCAGGCTCTTATCTATGGGCCAACTGGCCTGCCTGAGGTTGTGTGACAGCTGCTGCAGCTGTGGACCGCTGCACAGGAAAAGGCTGTGCAAGTAAAGAAGGGAGGAAGGCAGATTGGGTCCATTTTTACCCAGGCCTCCATTTAGGCAACAGACATCATCACTTAAGCAGCTATCGATTGCTCCAGGCTTAACAAAGATGCACACTGAGCTGTCACACATACATGAAAGAGCCTTATGGATGAATTCAAACATCCAATCAGAATATATTACAGGAAGTAAACAGTTAGTGCCGCTGATAGTAGTGGTTTGCGTTCAGATCTAAAGGTTAATGAGGAATAAGAAAATCAGAAAACAAATAAAAAAAAATCACCTAAATGTTTATGAACTGGACAAGCTGGTACCAACAAATTCACCAGTTAATTGTATTGTGCAAAAGAAAAATGTGACATACTTCTGCTGTGCAGTTAACTTCGTTATATTTGTGGCACCATAGACTGCTTAGGCAACAGAGTTTGGAAGAGAAAAGACTACAGAAATGAGAACAGGAATAGGTAGAGTCATGAGGGATAACAACGATAATGGGAACGACACGGACAGGACAAAACAAGGATTCTGTAGCACTGGAAACATGCTTAAAAGCAGCAAACATCACCAACAAATTAATTATTCTCAAAAGACTGATTTTACTCTTCTTGTCCAAGATTTATCTTAACAAAACAAGTTTATATGTATCTGATTATCTGATTCAGGAGGATCAATGTGGTTTTCGTCCTGGCCGTGGAACACTGGACCAGCTCTATACCCTTAGGGGATCCTGGAGGGTGCGTGGGAGTTTGCCCAACCAATCTACATGTGTTTTGTGGATCTGAAAAAAGTGTTCAACCGCGTCTCTCGGTACGCCCTATGGGGGGGTACCAGACCCTCTGATACAGGCTGTTAGGTCTCTGTATAACCGGTGTCAGAGCTTGGTCTGCATTGTTGGCTGTAAGTCGGGCTCGTTCCCAGTAAGAGCTGGACCCCGCCAAGGCTGCCCTTTGTCACCGATTTTGTTCATAACCTTTATAGACATGATTTCAAGGCACTGCCAAGATGTAGAAGGGATTTGTTTTGATGGCTTGAGGATCGGGTCTCTTCTTTTTGCAGATGATGTGGTCCTATTGGCTTCATCAGAACGTGATCTCTGGCTTTCGCTGGAGCGGTTCGCAGCCAAATGTGAAGCAGCTGGGATGAGAATCAGCTCCTCTAAATCTGGTAACCACGGTCCTGAGTCGGAAAAGGGTAGCATTTCTTCTCCGGGTCAGGGATGAGGTCCTGCCCCAAATGGAGGAGTTTAAGTATCTCAGGCTTTTGTTCACGAGTGAGGGAAAGCTGGAGTGAGAGATCAATGGGCGGATTGGTGCTGCGCCCACAGTGATGTGGTTGTTGTACTGGTCTGTCGTGGCCTAAAACGGATGGATGGATAAATGGATGGATGGGTGGATGAATCTGATCAGACATAAAATACAACAACAATTTGAACCAACAAGCAAACAAATTGACATATAATTGAGCCATGTATGCAGATGACACCCAGATCTACCTAGCTCTGTCACCTAGTGACCACAGTCACTAGGTGGTCTCAGGGATCTCATGTCCAGACAGGACCTACAGAAACTCATTCATGCGTTCATCTACAGCAGGCTGGACTATTGCTACAGTCTTTTTACTGGTCTTTCCATAAAAGCTGTGAAGCAACTGCAGCTTTTTCAGAATGCTGCTGCTAGAGTCTTGAGGAGAACCAAGAGAACTGAGCACATAGCTCCGGTTCTTAAATCTCTACATTGGTTACCAGTAATCTGCAGAATCCATTTCAAAGTGCTTCTACTAGTTTATAAATCACTCAATAACATGGGGCCAAAATACATGTCGGATCTCTTTCCTGTAGCCCAGCAGGGCTCTGAGATCCTTAAGAAGCAGTCAGCTCTTATAGGCCTTTTCCATCGCCCAAACTGGCATGGAATGGGAAGGATTGGGTTGCTAATTGTTTCTGTTCCGATTGTAAAACCGGTCCAGACAACCTAGCCCAACCACGACAATTACAGGACTTTTTTGGCTCCCTTCTGTTGTAGGTCCAGAAATTTTTGGAGCCGTACAGTATGGGTGGAGCAAGAACACAGTCCACTAATTGGCTGACAGAAATACGTCACTGCTTGCAACAAGCAAAAAATAAAAAAATAAAACGGAGTTCCGTTGTTTGTATTTTCGTTAGCTGTACATGAATGTGAAAAAATAACAGTATGTCGCAGCATATGTTGGTCACCTTCAGAGTTCCATACATTTCTCACCGTCATAGTGAGAGTCAGGAGGAGATGGATGAATCGGTAGTTTTTTTTCTCAGCGGATTGCATCAAGGATCAGAGCAGACATCGGCTCAGTGTCGGGCCAAGATGAAGCAATTAAAGCCCAATATAGTTAATAGTTAAAGACAGAAACAGCCAGAGTAGATTTTTATTTTCGAATGGGAGAAATACACGGAGTTGCTACGACACGCTGAATGCTGTTTATAGGTGAGGCAGCGAGGTAGGCTTCTGAACTTAGCGACTGCACTCTGCAGTCACATGTGGAGGCTGTGGTAAGCATTTGTTTTTGTCTTTAGCTCTGTAGACCATTTATTGCAGCACAGAAATACTGAATAATTGGACAACTTAGAAAATTGCGCATGGCGGTTCGTTTAACCCCACCTGCTGACGTGATGGCCCAAACTGTGATCTAAACGCTCGCCTGAAAATTCCAGACCCACACCGGAACACACTGGTCCAAAAATAATCAGACCGGACCGTTCCAAACCTGCCAATGGAAAAGAGCCATTAGAACCCCGGGTCAGAAACAGGGTAAAGCTGCTTTTAGCTGCTGCATACAGATGGAATCAGCTTCTTCATGAACTTATGAATGATTGTTTCTTATGCTGCACCTTCTGCACTGTACCTGCTCACTCTAAATGTGAATGTAATTATATTAAAATTTCTTATTACTGTAAATCCTCTAATACAGGCCCAGGCCTGTATTTGACTCAAGCTCATCAAGCTCCAGGCCTTTATTGGAAGGAGGGCCAGAATTAGAGACAGGCCTCAATTTCTATTTGAGCAAAATGAGCTAATGGTTCGCTGGAGTTTTTGACAATTAAAATTGCGCCCACATTTTCAAAGTTAAACACATTTCTTTTAACAACGGTAGTTTCTGCTTCAGCCCTCTCCCCCTCCCCCTGTGCAGCGGCCGCAAACTCACTGATGCGCCTGCAGCCTCTCGGAGTTCCTGCTGCTCTAAACATTAAAATATTTATTTCATTTTCTGTTCCTCACTTCTGATTACCTTCAATGGTGTCTGTTTGTTGCAACAACCAGGTACAAAAACTAACTTGCTTTTATTTGACTATTTTTCCTGTCCTGCCTGTTTATTATCTTCCTGCATCTCCTCTCAATCCTAAAGAAAAACTGCTACCTGGGTTCATTTATATTCACCTTATGAGTTACCTTTGAACTGCAGTTCTAAAAGATCTACCGACCGCAAAAACAGCGGAGTGCTCCCGGCCACATCAGTTAGGTGCGTCACCGAGGACATAACAGGTGATGCACCCCGATCCACAGCAGCGAAACGCATCAGGCACAAATACAAGAATAAAAGACAGAAAACATAAAAGGAAATGAGCCGACATGAACGATTGTGTGTTAAATTAGTTTTTGAGGTGGCGACACCTGATTTGATAATGTTACTGTGGCCGTGCTCAGGACGCAGATGTCTGGAGCGCGTCAACAATCAGAGCTTTGCATGCGCAAGCTGGTTAAGGTTAGGATGGGGGTGAGGGGAAGGTTAAATTGCAAGAGGGTAAACGTCACAATTTGGTTAAATGTCCGTTTTACGGCGGGTGTCAGTGCCGACGCTCTGGCACAGCGCGTTGCCTCCCGACGCGCAGGAGCTTGTCACCTGCTGACAGCAGGCTGCTGTCTTTTCCGTGGACTGCATTTTGCCGGTCATTTTCACTTGACAGCGACTAGTCGATGACAGGCATAACAAGTCACTATAGAGCGGTGAAGTCGACTAGTGACTAGTTCTTACAACCCCTGCTACTGCTCCCCAGAGTGTTCTGCAGCATAATCAGCACGTTCAAATTTTCGCCTCCTCTTCGTCTCCGCACGGTTAAAGTTACCCTCGCGGTCTATCACTGGCAAATCAAAAGTGAGACGGATGACACAACCACCCCCCGTACTTGCTTGTTACCACATTCTACCCGGCCACAATAAAAAAACGGCCATTATTCACCTCTGCCGACTCAAACACCGGCCAAAATATGATCCTCGGCAGTTAAATAAATACAGGCTAATATTAGAGGATTTACGGTATATTTTAATTACCGTATTCGCATTGATTATCCTGTTCTGGCTTCTGGAAAGCACATTGAACTGCCCGTGTGTGTGAAATGTGCCTAATAAATTTAGTGACAAATTTCAATGAGCAAAAGTACATCTGAGTAAAGCTATTTGGGATTTTGAAGCAATATCACCTGTTACTATTACACACTGAGGTTGAGGTGTCTAGTTAATTTTGTGACTGACAGTAAAAAGGAAACGTTTGACTAGCAAAAATAAATACAAATCATTAAACTGTCTGGGATGAAGCTGTTAGTAAAA